CCCCATACACACACCCTGCCCTGGTTCCCCGCCGCGCCCACTCTTCCTAGCCCTCCCCGCTCCTCGCCCGTCCTTCCCTGGTCCCCACTCTCGTTCATTCGTCCCGGCTTCCCTCCCTGTGGCAGTCTCCTTCGTCCCCCGCCACCCCTCCCCCTCGGCTCCCTTTTCTCCCAGCCCTCCCCTCGCCCAGGCTCGCGTAGGTCGCCGTCTGGTCCCCGTAACTTGATGCCCATGACAGTTGGCAGCTGCAGCCGCTTCGGTGGAGAAAAGCGGGGGCCGAGCCAAGAGCGACAGGTGTTGGCCGCGCCTTTGTCTAGGCCCGCTTTGTCCGGCGGCGGAGGGCGGGTGAGCCTGTGTCCGCCAGACGACCGCCGCCCCCACCGCGGGCCGCCCATCTGCCAGACTGGCCTCCCCGCGGGTGGGGTGAATGGTCGGTGGGGCCCGCGCCCTGGGGCAGCACCCTGGGGATCTCGGCCTGTTCCCTGCTCCACCGGCCTAGGTAACCTTCACAGCACAGCAAAGCTGGAATGGCAAGATGGGTTCTGGCCACCAGGCCTTTGCACCCACCGAGCCTTCCACCTGGAATGCTTCAAACACCTTCAAATGTCTATTTCCTCACTGTTTAGGTCTCTGCTTCCTTATTCCTCTTGCTGGTGGGAGTGCACCTGCCCCACGGTAGTCCTGCCTTTACCCAGTCCTGAACCACTCACCAGGGTTTGGGATTGTCAGGGTCTGGTCTGCACCCCTCCAAGCTCTAACCATCCCTCGTCAAGGGTACCTAGGACCTCCTATCTACCTCCAGCAGAGTTGGGCCTCGGCAGAGCCCGGGTGGATAGGCAGGGTGAGGGGATGCCCCAAGCGTGGCTGGAAAGCAGGAGGGAAGGAAACATCCAGGTAGGACTAGGCCACAGATATCCCCCACCCCAGCCACCTGAAGGTGGATCTTGCAGCCCTCCCTGTGAGTATTTCACTTTGGGCTCCCCACCAGAAGGACCTTTACAGGCAGGCAAATTTGATGAGAGGTTTGCAGTTTCCCAAAGTCACCTCACTGACCTCTACAAGTACCCGAGAGTTTCTTCTGTTGATTTTCACCTGTCCACACTCAGCCTCTTGTTCGCTTCTCTTTGGGCAGTCTTCGAAGACCTCACCAGCCCAGCATTGTTCAGCCAGGTAGAAACCCACTCCTTTATTTCAATCATCCCTTGTTGTTCTCGGTCTCCTCCACATGCCGGAAAGCTCAGCTCTCTTCCTCCCTTCCCCCTCATCTGGCTGCTCAGAACCCCAACTGCCCTTCTCTCCCTACACCTAGTGGTGGGGCTGACAGGGGAGGGGAGGGGGTTCAGTGTGGAACCCAAGAGAGCACACAACTGGCCTGTGACTTTACTGTTCTTAATCACTTAGACATCACTCCAGGGAAGGAGACCCCCAAGTAACTACAATTATGTTTCCACCCCTACTTTGAGAATCTGAGATATTAAAAAATAAACTCAGTGCTATTTCTTGTGGCCTGATGAATATGCCTCCCCTTATCCGTTGTATTGTTTGAATAAGACCAAACAGGTATTTTAGAATGCTCTCCATGAGAGGCAGTCCATGTTGGAGCAGGATGGTCAGCGCTCTGGGGGAGGCCTTTGGGAAAAGATCAATAGAACACTTGATTAGATGGAGTATGGGTTTGGGGGGGAAGGCATGATAAAGGCGGATAGTGCAAGCAAAAAATGAGAAGCAACTAGTAATTCCAGGAAAAACAAAAAGCTCCTCCCAAAGAGAACTGTGATCTCAACATACTGACTGACTCAGAAGCTAACAATTCTTCCACAGTCACAACAATATAACACTGTTCATGGGGGCTCAACATTTAGAATCAATCTGTAGAGAAGGCAAGAAAGTCTTATTATGGTTACAGGACATTAAATAAAGTTGACTTTATAAAAACCAAAGGATAGGTGACTATTGTCATGAGAAGGGAGGAGGCTGAAGGGAGGGCGAAGGTCCTCAAAAAGCTTGTCTTACAAAGGAAGGTGGGGTTTGAGGAACACCGTCTAGAGTTGAAGGAAGGAGAAATTAGGTGCTAGGATATGCCTCAGTGTGACCAAATACCCTGAGGTACAAGGACAGAGCAGGGTATAGGAGTCAACAAGATCCTTGGTTGGACCAGAAGTTGCCCAAGGCCCCATCTTTGAAGTTAGCCTCAATGTCCCTTAGTTGGCTGGCTGGCTTGGCCTTTTCCTCCAAGAAGCCTGGCTGTTCCATCTCTGGGCCACCAGGCCCTCTCTCTCTCTCCTTTGCCTCCTCTAGTGGACCCATTTCCTGCCATTTGTCCCTTGGACTGCTCCTACCTTCAAAGGTTGCTTGAGCACAGACTTCCTGAGCATTTGGGCCCTTTGATCCCCCCCAGATCCAGGAACAGAGGCCAGCAGAGGCTGGGCAGGGCTGTGGTGGCCACAGGGGGACCAGTTAGCGGCAGGGGGGGGGGCAGGCCATAAATCCCCAGGGAACAAAGGCAGCAGCCAGCCTATGGACATTCAGGCCCCTTGTGGGCAATCAGCCCAGAAAGCTTGGAGAAGCTCCTTTTGGTCTGGAAATAAAGGGGGGGGGGTGCCTTTGGGGTTATATGGTAAATAAAAATGCAATTAAGAGTCCCCAAAGCAGTCAGTTTGGTGAAACAGCCCTCTCTGGCCATTTAAGGCCAGTTTGCAGAGGCCTCTGTGCTTACCGGGAGGGCTTTGCCTTTGTTCCCTCACCCCCACGCCATCCCCCCTGTCACCATGAAGCCAGAAGGCAGGGACTCAAGCCTCCCCCTCCTGCTCAGAGAGCTTCTGGGAAGCTGGGCACTGGGTCCAGGATCCATTCATGTCTCTGCTCCATTCCTCATGATCCTGGTGTGAAAAGTGGGAGGAAGTGGGGAACAGGACCCCACTGCTTTGCCCGGGCCCCACACGGCTCCATCACTGTGGAAAGAAGGACAGGGCGTGTGGAGTGAGGGGACTGGGTGGCTCTGCCCCATCATCTTCTACAGAGACAGGAAGCCTCTCTGGCTGGCGTCCTTCAGACCTCTGCCCGTGGCCCTGTGGCCAGCGCACGGCCAGCTCCTCTAGAAGGGACAGACACCCAGGGCAGGGCACAAGAGAAACAGAGGAGGTGCCTGGGGTCACCTTGGAGTGGAGAAGAGCTGGGGGCTGAGCCAAGCAGCCTCACCCCTGCATCTGCAAGTGAAAAGCCCATGGGAGCGCTGGATTACATGATTAGATCTACATTTTATGAAGTTCACATCCTAAGACTTCACTGGGCAGTGCGACAGCATGTGGTGAGGATGCACGTAAGAGAGACGCACGCGCACGCACACGGGAAGGGACCAGCTGTGCAACGTAAGGGGTGAGGGAGGCCTCTGTGACAGAAGTTGTCCCGAATACGGCATTTCTGGAGTTCTCTGTTGAGACACACCTTTTGGAAATCTTTGATCTCCATTGTGATTGCTCTGTGCTACATTCAAAATACACCCAAGGAACAATAAAAAATATACTTGCTTTATTTACCAATTTTCTAAAAAGCAAAACAGTCGTAAAAAGACACGAGCAGTAAACAAACATATTGCACTGGGTGAAGCAAGTTTGGTGGGTGCATGGACAAACCACTTGTCCGGCAAGGCTTACCAAGTCATGAGACAGACACGGAGAGCGTATTTACATGTCTGTTCAGGAACAGATTAAAAAGAAGGCTCAGTTTAAAATCGAGAGAAAGTTTTATAACCCCTGTGTAAGCACGCACACTAAAGGAAACACATCTCGATGCGCGGCATCGTGTAAACAATTTCACAAAATGCTCCTATTGTCAACTTTCCAGCACGTGTGGAGGCTACGCGGTTAATAACAATCAATGGGCGCGAATCATACGGTAACAATGCTGAGGGTAAACATTCATAGCAGTGGAGAACGTCTGGACGGCTGTATGTTAACGTAACATACATGTAACCTTGACCAGCGTCTAATCCCTTGATGATTGGACTTCAGAGGCGGGAGGCGGGTTTGATAGCCTCTATTTTCCACACAAACGCACAGGCTACTACCTCATTCTGGGCATGAGAAGGTGATGTTACTTTATAAATTAAAAAAAAAAAAAACACCACAGTATTCTTGCATTTGAGTTTATGGAAAACGGGATTAATATCCAATCATAAGACTGAAAACCAAGCAGGTTACAGGGAGGCTGACTCCAGGAGCCCCTTCTCCATCAGAGAACAAGGGGAAGCCTGCTTTCTTTTCCGTCTTTACAAACTCAGTCCAATTTTAAGTTCATTGTTTCACCTGTGGTAACTTTCCGTTCACTCCAGGGGCCTATACGACTTTTCCCCCCAAATCTTGTGGGTGCATGATGCAACATGAGGTTTGGTGAGATAGAGAGGCCTCACTCTTCCCCGGGTGTCCCGCTGCCCTGAAAGTGCTGGTGACACCGGGGGACCTCACTGCAGAGACCGGAAGCTGCCCCGAGTGAGGTCAGGCTCATGAAAAGAATGAGGGCCAGCATCCCAGCCCAGGGCGCGGTGGGAGAGGTGAGCTCGTGGCACCCTGGAAAACGCAGACGCGGTCACCAGATCACGATGTCAGTGGCTACTCTTTGCCAGAGCTCCGGTCTGGGAGGTTCCCAACAAAGGACCAACCAACACGAATGGTCCTCTGGGTGGCGATCAAAGCCTGGTCTGCAAAGGGAAGTCACCACGGAGGTAATCAACCACATATTTCATCTACCTCTTGGTCACGGTCTGTAAAGGATACAAGAACGCTGTAGAAATACACAGGAGATTCTGAGCGTGTGCTAGTCTGGTGGAGCCGGCCACACAAGCCACTGGGCCTCTTTGGTCCCGAGCGAGCATCTCCACGCCGTTCACCCCAGACACAAGCTACGTCAGACTGAAATGTTTGCCGCTATGGGACCTGAAGCCGAAGCTGCTGGTTTGCCAGAGTAGGTTTCAAGCCGTTTAATGCGAAACACTTTGAAAGAAAATCGGGACAGGCTGTGATCCCCGTTCGGCATGTTTTTAAGAACACCTAGTTTGACTAAATGATAATTTAGATAAAAAGCAGCCCCCAGAGGCCAGAATTTGATCTGACCCGCACCAAGCTGGGGAGGCTCCCCGCTGTCTGTCGCAGCCTGCATGATGCCTCCCGACACCCACAGGGACCGGCGAGAAGCCTCCTCGAGCCCACAGACTTCCGGGAGCCCTGGGACAACCTCCCTGACACGTGCAAGGAGCGGGTTCAGGCTCTCTCAAGTTAAAGAACACTGAAAATCTGTCCGCCGGCCCCCCAACCTCCGTAGGTATGTTTTAGATATAAAAATGTATTTTCCTCCCAGACCCTTCCCACCCTCCGGTTTTAAATCACCCCTTCAGAAAACCATGTGTGTTTTCCCCCTAAAACAAAAAAAAGCGACATAAGCATATCTGTCCACTTCATGACAAACAGGTGAGAAAACGTCTCCTCTCTTCCGAGCACCTTCTAGAGCAGATCACGGCTGTCCGGGGCTGGGGGGCGGGGCCAGGACAGACTTAGGTCTGTTCTTCCCTTCTGTGACTCAAGGGGGCTCCACTTCCCTCCTCCTTGGTGTCTGGGTCTCCGCTGAGACCCAGAGTAGGAACATCCTCCTCATATGGCACGCAGATGTTGTCTTCTTCCTTGTTCTCACAGTAAACACACTCCTTAAAAGGAAAAATGTCAAATCAGTAACAAAAACGACATCCTCGTTACCACGGTGTAGTTCAATCTGAGGAGGTGCAGGTGACCAGGGGTTGGCCGGGCGGCTGCTAGAGGAGGGGTGGGACGTGGGGCGCCTCTGAGGGGCTGCTGGGACCCTGCCTGCTCTTCAGGGAGGCCACAGCTGCCCCCTCCCCCAAGGCCAGAGGAGAGTCCAGCCCTTATCTGAGCAGTGAGGCAAAGCCAGGAGACTCAGGCTTGGTCGCAGCTCCTCCTCTTCCTGCCTGTGGGGCCGGAGTCGATCGAGGCCCAGTATAACTGCCTTCGCCAACCTCAGTTTCCTAATCTGGGAAATGGGGCATCAGCGATGTACGGTCTCATTCCCCGACTATCTGCTGCTGCGTACCTGCTACGCATCAGACATGTCCTGAGCACTGGGACTCACCAGTGAACAAAGATGAAAACCCCCGCCCGGTGGAGGGGACATCCTCGTAGGGGAAGAGGGACAATAAACAGAGTGAGGCGAGTACCCTAGAGTGTTCAAAATGAAAGTCTAGCTGGACGCGAAACAAGGCACGTGGAGGGGGTCCTATTATACGCTGGACCTTTAGAAAAGGCCAGAGAAGGTGACTGATGGAGGGCTGTTCTTTGAGACCCTTCCCTCAGAGGGTGGAGCCTCATTCCCCTTCCCCGAAGTGTGGGCTGGACTTGGTAACTCGCCTCCAGCAAAGAGGAGGTGATGGTGTGATGGAGGGCATCGTGGGGCCCAAGAGGCCTGTGGCTTCCTCCTGTCCTCTCTGGGGATCCGGTGCCAGGCCACAAGTACAGCCAGGCAGCCCTGTGGGGAGAGGCCTGTGTGGCGAGGAACTGAGGCCTCCTGCCCACAGCCAGCACCAGCTTGACAGGCATGGGAGGGAGCCTCCTGGGAAGGGGGTCTTCCGGCCTTCAGATGACCACAGACGCCCCAGCCAACATCTTGCCTTTATCTTCAGGAGAGACGGAGCCAGAGCTTCCCCGCCAGCTGCTTTTGAACTCCCAGCCCAAAGAAACAGTGGGAGATCATTAGTGTTTACTGTTTTAGGACACTAAGGTTTGGGGTCATCTGACACAGAGCAGTAGGCAACCGATACTGTGGCGTGTGAAAGGAACACGTGAGGGAAGCCAGAAGCAGCCACGTGTCTATCCAAGAGGAGGGGGTTCCAGGCAGAGGGAAGGGCAGGTGCAAAGGCCCGGTGGCAGGAGCCTGCCTGCTGCGTTCAGGGGCAGGCGAGAGGCCCATGTGGTGCAGAGAGTGAGGGAGGAGAAACCAAGAGATGTCAGATTTTTATGGCTCTGCCGTTGACAGGGATGTGACTGTCGGGGACCGGGGGAACGACATGAGGCAGGGAGGCTACTAGGAAGATCCAGCTGAAGAAGCATCGTGCTTGGACCAGGGGGTGACGCTGGAGGTGATGGGGAGTGGCCGGTTCCCATCCTGAAGGTGGAGGACAGGGCTGGCCACGGGTTCAGCTACAGAAGGACACCGAGCCCCCGAAATGAGTGGCTGCGGGGGACCCGGGGCTCAGGAGGGAGCGGGGAGCAGGGATGGGCACGCAGGTATGTCTCCAGGAGCCGCGGGAGGGGGCGTGTGGCCTTGTGGGAGCGCTGTTCCTATGGCCACTTAATGGTCCACAGGGACAGTGAGGGTTTATGGTAGGAGCAGAGCTTCCTGTTTCCTGTTTTGTTTCGTTTTTAATGGAAAACAGAATTGAAAGGAAGAAAAAACATTCCAATTTCAGCACTGGATCTTGAGACTGAACCTTCAGAAGGCCTTTTCGGGAGCAATGTGGCAGAGCCGTTACAAGAAAGTTCCTCAGACTAACGGTATCGCGGTGTCTTTCGTTGTCGTTAATGAACGCTCTCAAATTCTAGGAGTTTTAAGTTTACAGAACACTAGCAAAGACAGTACGGAGCGGCCCCCTCGCAGTGCCCTTTAACGCGACGTCAGAAACTATGCGCTGTGACTTACGGTGACGTCCACGGCGGGGGGCAGGCGGCCCTCCCGCAGCCAGGGGTGTGCGTCCTGCAGCTCCCGCGTCTGGCCCTCCGTGAACTTGGGCTGGGACTTCAGCAGCGGCTGCATCTTCTCCCTATCCTCCTTCAAGACGGTCTCCAAATTCCTTCAGAGAACATTCAGTTAGGCAATTCAGAATGTCTTAATAAGGGATTTTCATGGTTTTCTCTTTTACACACTCATTTTCTGTCGACTCTTTCCATATTAGTATAATTTCAGGTGATTTTGTTTCATGCAAATTTCCTTTTTGTTTAAAATAAATTACCCTGTTTAAGATAACTTAATCTCCCTAGTAAATAATCCATAGTTTTCCTACTAAAATGATAGCCTGAGTAACAATTTTGATTTTATTATTGTTATTATTATTATGATTTTTGAGAGAAAAAGAGAGCATGAGTAGGGGAGAGGGGCAGAGGGCGGGAGAGAGAATGGTAAGCAGGTTCCACGCCAAGCGTGGAGCCCCATGTGGGGCTCGAACCCATGAGCCGTGAGATCATGACCTGGGCCAGAATCAAGAGTCAGATGCATAACTGACTGAGCCACCCAGGCTCCCTGGTTTTATTGTGAATTAGACACGGGAGCTGGTTACCTGCACAAGCTGATCAGCTGGAGACTCTTGCCATTAAGGAGGTTGGCGGAATAACTCCTCTGCCTCCTGCAAGCCCTGACATTGCCCCGGCGATAGAGCCCCAGTGACCCCCCCTACAGAGGCTGGGCTGTTCTGAGCCTCAGCCTTAATCCTTCTTTCCCCAGCTTCCCCCACCCTGGGGCTCCACGGGGGCAGGGACCATGACGGTTCACTAGAACAGCCTGACAAGCAGTCACTGCGGTGGCCCAGTTCCAGTCACCGCAGAGCAGCCGGTGGCCGAGGGCTGCTCACCTACCTCGACCTTGGCTTCGGCATCTCTAAGACAGACACACCCCATCCACCCCACAGGGTTGCTGGGCGACAGAGAAGGGAGACAGACGTTGGCACAATTGCTTCGTGAGCATTGAGTGCGACACCCAGGAGGGTGGCCGGGAGCCCATCTTCCTCACAGCCCATGGGAGGTCACTCTGCAGGGCTCCGGGGCACACTGTCCACACAGATGGCTCTCTGTGGGACCACAGAGTCACCCGGAGTGACCCTGCTTCTCTGTCTGCTGCACTCAACTCAATCTGAGATGAGGCTTCAGAGGGAAGTCCCCCGACTGGGTGGGGGATCCCACGTCCCTAGGAGAAGGTCGAGTGGTTACCGGGAAGGCATCTGGTACGTCATCATGATGCTGTCATCTGCGTTGGCCATCAGCAGCCAGACGGGGTCCTGGAGGACGTACTTGATGAAGTGCTTGCTTTCTTCCACGTCCGCCTTCACTTCTGCTTTGTGATTATTCTCCGAAGACTCCACGCTCCCGAAATACTTGCTGGTATGGCTCGTGTCACTACTGCCTTTAAAAACACAAAACGTGGCAAGTCAAAGCTTTTGACACAACGTTAAATCTCGTGTGACGTGCGTGTACAAGGCAACGGCAATTTTGGGAAGCTGAAGAGTTTTACTTGGCGGTGAGTGCCCAGGTTGGTGGATGTTCCTTCCCCCGTTTTCAGTTCTCAAATTATTTGGGGAATACCAGCTGGCACCATGGAGGGGATTCTTTCCCTCCAGGGCCAGCCCCGAGAAGTCCAGATGGGGCTAGGTCTTAGAAAGTGTGGTCTTCTTTCCAAGAGCTCCCTGCTCCTTGACGAGGCTAGGCCACAGAGAAGCTGGGTCGGGGATCGCTCTCCAGTGAGCCTCCCGTGGGGAGTGAGGCCAGAGAGCAAGGGGAAGGGAAACCCCATGGGGGGGAAGGGGGGGGTCTCAGTTTGTGGAGTGAGCTCTGCCCCTTACGGAGTTCCACAGCACACCCGGCTCATCCTCGCCGCTCAGGCGTGCAGCCCACACCCCAGCTTCACATGAGGGGTGCTCCCTTGGCAGGGCGAACACCACCAGCCCTCCTAGCAGCCCAGAGAGCCAGAGGGACGGTCCTAAAGAGCCAGCAGGGGTGAGGCCTGCAATGCCAGGAGAGTGTAAAGCAAACAGATGCAGGGCGTGCCCACGGGCAGAGCTGGGGCAGGAGCAAGGGGCACGTGCCTGCGGGTGTGAACTGCTCTGGGCTCTGGGCAGCCGCTCGGAGGGCCAGCTGAATGCCTGTCGGGACCTGGTCCGCACCCGCTACCGTGGCCTGAGGTCGGGAAAAAGCTGAGGATGCCCTCAGGTACATCAAGAGACCATCTTCCAAAAAAGCCCTGAATTGAGGCAACTAAAACACGTCCACTCCCGCGGGACTCGGGTGCTCCCAGCTCACCAACGTACCTGCTCCGCTTCCAGACGTATCGCAGCCCAGCGAACTGGAACCCAGGGAATCGGAGGCCCCGCTCCCGGACAGGGCCGACCCGGTGGCCGAGCACAGGTCTTCGTGCAGCAAGAGGTCAAGCAGGCCGCTGGACGTGGAGAGGGCATCGCTGTTTGGCGCGCCTGTGGGCTCCTCGCGCTTCAGGAACAGGGAGAAGATAGCACGGTCAGGATGGACTGGGTGGGGCTGGGGAGCTGCAGGGCACTGTGTGCACAGGCCAACCAGGGACACCAGGGACACGGCAGAGCGGGGTCCCCAGATCGCTGGCCCTTCCTTCACATGCCAACGAAGAAGGCCCAGTGAATGCGTCCCGCGGTTACTGGGACTACAGCAGCATGCTCGCCAGTGGTCTATGAATGCCGTCTAATCAACCTTAGTTTGGGGACAGTCACACCAAAGACAGCAGTTCCAGGATCCTTGAGGGAAAAGCTCCCGCTTGGCCTTCCACCAGTGCAGATTGGGGAGCAGGGAACTGCCTCAGCAGCACCGGGTGGCTGCTCCTCACCGTGGGTGGGGCTCTGGCCTGGGGGGCGGGGCCTTGGGACCGAGGGAGAGGCGTGGCCTGGCAGCAGCCGGACCCTTCCGTCCTCAGAACCAGAACAGGAGGCCAGGACCCCAGAAACAGGAATTGGGAGGGCAGGGACGCACTGGGGAAGTTAGTCTATGTTCATGAGGTTGTGCGTCCTCCTCTGGGGGCCCCGTGCAGCTCCCCCTCGGGGCTCCCGTGGACTGCACGGCCTCGCTAACACTGCCACACGCCTAAGCTCATTCAGAACATAGAAGCGGTTCTTTGGAGACACAATTGCAATTTCATTAATCGAGTAAGAACGGCACACTGGCGTCCCTTAGGACTTGGGAGGAAGGGAACCGACCGCCTGGTTCCAGAGCTCTGTCCTCCGCCTCTACGTCCACTCAGGGTGCCTCCGCTGCCAGCTTCCCCGCCCCT